GAGGTCCGTAACTCCGATTGGGCTGAAATTTCAACATGATTTCTTTTTGGATATTATCTTTCTTGGGGCGAAAGAAGGGCATCAACCAACCTACAAGGGGCCCACAAGCCACCAGGGCGCAGCCAGGGGGTAGGCTATGCCCTGGTGCCTTGTGGCCACCTCGGGCACCGTCTTGCATTGATTCTTCTTCCCAAAAATCACATATATTTCAAAATAAATATCTGTAAGTTTTTATCCCGTTTGGACTTTGTTTGGTATGGTAATTCTGCGAAACAAAAAACATGCAAAAAACCGGAACTGACACTGGGCACTAGATCAATAAGTTAGTTCATAAAAATAATATAAAAGTGCACCAAAACCATACAAAATTATACAAACATGACATGAATACTTCATAAATTATAGATACGTTGGAGACGTATCAGTATTCCCAAGCTTAATTCCTGCTCGTCCTCGAGTAGGTAAATGATAAAAGAAATAATTTATGAAGTGTGAATGCTAGCATAGTGCATAAGTTTGATCAATGATAATTTCAATCACTTTTCCTATCATCATAACAACAACTCTTTCTCATAAAACTCATCATGATAAAGTAGCAATCAATTCAGATGTTATGATTCAAACAATTCATTCTCTTGAAACTTAACAACCTATGTTATTAGTCACCAAACAATTGCAATGCATATTATTTTCAACAAAGTCTAAGTAAGGGATCCACATACTCAATTATCATTTAGTCCTCTAAGATTGCTAGTACTGAAAGCATATGTTTAGAACAAATAGCATCCGTCGAACACAGAGAAAGATAGAGGCTTAATGTTTCGCCTCCCAACTTATTTATCATAGAGATAATTGTCAACAATAATGATTCAGATAAAATGTATTTGAATGGCCATATATGTCTGGATCTTTCCCCACCACACGATGCTTGCCAACTAAAGAATATGTTGGAATAATAACGAATACTGTTGACTCTTGCATAAAAGTAAATACTAAAAAGTAAAAGATATGTCCTTCACAGAGGGAAGCATGGATTTGTGGAAGTGCCAGAGTTCATTGCTTAAAATAGAGATGAATACATTTTGAGAGGTGTACTTTTCCTGTCAACGTCACGACCGAGAGTTCTCAATATCTTCCATGCTAAACACATTATAAGTGGTTCCCAAGCAGAAAGGTAAAGTTTACCCCCCCCCCCCCAACCATAACACAAGCTATGGATAGCCGAATCCTCATGTGCCCTCCATACAATCAACTTTCCGGGGGAGTTTGTTTCATTATTTTTCATTTTGTTCATAGGACTGGGCATCCCGATTACCAGCCTCTCTCGTGCAATGACAAGTGAATAAACACCCGTCGTGAGAATAACCCGCTTAGCATGAAAGATACTGACCACCCCCTGCCGCTTCATGAGCGGTACGGGCACACAAAACGGATGTTTATTTGAAGATTTAGAGATGGCACATGCAAATTTACTTGGAACGACAGGTTAATACCGTATATAGGTAGGTATGATGGATACTCATGGAAGAAACTTAGCTCAAGGATTTGGATGCACAAGCAGTATTCCCGCTTCGTACAGAAATTTTGGCTAGCAAAAGATTCTAAACAAGCACCACATGTTGGAGGATCCATAACGATACAACTTCTATACAAATATACTCAACCATAACTCATTACCTTGTCTTTCTTGTCCAACTTCAACCAATTTGCTCAAGTTTGAAAATAATTAATGGGTATTCACAATTATAAATGATGTCCAAGATAATATATTTGTATGTGAAAGTTCTCTTCCTTATATTAACCATTCATGAATTGTTTGTAGGACCAATATTGTGATTGTCAAACTTCAATAAATTTTACTTTCTAAACCCAATGTGAAAGATGGCTTGGTATGCCTATCGCATGACATCCTCCATGTAGTATGTGGCGGCGGACATCCTTATGTCGTCCCAAATCTTTAGAAGGTGCATCTCACTATGTACCAGTCGACAGGGACCAGGGAGCGAACCCACCTGTGGTTGGGTGATTAGAGGGACAGTGGTATCCCCAGCCCACCAAGGTTCAAGTCCTGGTGCTCGCATTATTCCTAGATTTATTTCAGGATTTCCGGTGGTGCATTTTAGTGGGAGGAGACGTTCCCGTCGATGATGAGGCGCTTACGGTGACTTCATAAATCTCAAGATGATATGTCGGCTCAGTCTCTTGAAGGTGCTCATAGGGGTAGGGTGTGAGTGTATGCGTCCATAGGGGTGAGTGTATGCGCGTATGTATGAGTGCTTGCATCTGTATCATATTAAAAAAAGGGTCCTGATAACGCCCACACGTGTGGCATACTAGGCATCCGCCCACACGTCATGCATGGCATGAGCAGGAGGCAGCCCACACGGGTTGTGTGTGCACGAACATTAGAATTGCCCACATGTGTGGGCGCAGCTACTTCGTGCCACATGTCCAACAAGTACTACTCATCCCCACCCCGCGCGTGTGGCACGAAGCAAATATGCCCACACATCCTGGCGCAGCTACGTCAGGTACCGATGGCATGACGATTTAGTTGCCATCCGGAATGGCAGATGTAGTTATCCGGGATAGCAAATGTAGTTGTAAAAGCATGGCAACTCTCTCTGTTTTGGTTAACTATAGTTGCCATGTCTAATTTATGATAGTTGTCGCATGTAATCAAATCATAGTTGTCGTGTGTGATTAACTACTTGCTACATATGGTCAAACAATAGTTGCCACGTGTGTTTACCTAGTTGCCACGTGTGGTCCAACCATAGTTGCCATGTATGGTTAATCACAGTTACCATGTGTGTTTATCTGGTTGCCACATATGCGCAACTACAGTTGCCGTCTAGCAATGAATCATAGTTGCCACGTACGCGCAACTGCAGTTGCCATCCAACAATGTGTGGGTGTCGCGTGGGAAACGCGCGTGGACTAGGTGATGGCTGTGTGGGAAGAAACTAGTTCGCCCACACAGCGCAGCTAGCAAACCGCGTGCTGCGGGGCGTGTGGGTGAACTCTCCAACGCCCACACACACGATGATGCCCACATGACACTTAGATTCTAACAAATTCCTTTAGGGTTCGTGCAAAACAGAATCAACGTGGATCAAGGCGTGTGGGCGATGTACAAACATGCCACACGTATGGGCGTTATCATTAAAAAAACAAAGACCACAGGTTACTATCAAGACTAAATGGGTTTGAATGACAAGTGCACAATGATAGTGCGGGTTACGTAAACAACGGGGCCTATCAACAAGATTGCAACCATGTACAAAGCATCATCAGCTCGGCAAACAACAACAATGTGGCTGCCAGCAGGCGCGCTGTGATTGGCCAGTGGCCTATTCGTCACAGGTGTGGTTTGAGACCGCAGCGCAGCACTTTGGAAGTTCTTTTATCAAAGTGCATCATGTGTCTCAAGTTTGTGACCTGCGCGCAATAGCCCTAAGTTTTTTTTCTCGAATACGCTAAGCTAGCATATCATTGCATTGATAGGAGGATTGAAGCAAGTACAGGGTAGGGAGACATAGCCTCGTACACACGAATGGCGAGGCTATGATCCCTAGGGGAGCAGAGGACAGGGGGTTGCTCAGCCCCCAAGAAATTACATGGTCAGGTTACAAAGCTATTCGTAATGAACCCTCAAGCTCCTGTTGCGGCCCAGGAGCGAGCTTCGTATTTTATTGTTGCGATCAGCGAAGAGGAGGATGAGGCAATCTTGTCGAAGATGATTGCATTCCGGTGTCACCAGAGTGACCAAGCCGTGAGCGAGGCAATGGTGGCCAGGCCTCAGCGCCGCGTAGCCGGGGTGAGCAGGATGGCTTCTGAAAGCCATGCAAAGTAGCTAGTAGAGTCGTCTGGAGCTGCGGTTGCTGGAGAACACCACGATAGAATTTCGTGTCAAGTGATGCGCGCGAACACACAACCCACAAGGATGTGGTGTAGTGTTCCGGGCTCCTGCAAGCAGAAGACGCACGCCGGTTCGTGTGGCAGGCCACACCGAGCAAGGCGGTTAGCAGACCAGCATCGGTTGAGGGAAGCAAGCCAGGTGAAGAATTGAACCGAGGTGGGAGCGCTAGTTTGCCAGGCGAGGCACCAAAACTCGGAGGCCGTGGAGCCGAAGAACAGAGCGTTGTAGCAAGAGGAGGCGAAGTACACTCCATTGTCGGTCCAGCGCCATCAAAGCAGGTCCGGGCGCGGGGAGAGCACGACAACCCGGAGGCGCCGCCAGAGTCCCACATACTCCACCGAGGCGGCAGGGCCAAGAGCGCCCTGGATGTTAGAGATCCAGCGGCGGTCCGAAAGCGCCGGGGCCACCGTGCGGGAGCGCCGAAGCCGTCAAGGAACTAGGGCTGACAGGGCTGGTGCGCTGTCGGGGAGGGATTGCCCATCCAGCCACGGGTCCTCCCAGAAGCGGCAGGTGGTGCCATCCCCAATGGTCCAAGACATAGAGGCTCGGAAGAATTGGAGCACCTCGGGGTCCTGGGGAAGCTGAAGATGGGACCATAGTCGCGAGGGATCGGTGGCCTTGAGCCATAGCCAACGGACCCGGAGAGAGATGCCGGTGCGGTGAAGGTCGCGGATGCCAAGACCACCCAGGTCGAGGGGGCAACAGACCCGTGCCCAGTTGACTAGACAGGAGCCAACGCGTGCGTCGTTCCTTCCATGCCAGAGGAAGTCACGGAGGATTCTGTTGGTCTGCTTGAGGATGGCAGGCGAGAGGGCCATGGTGAGGAGCAGGTGGACGCGCATGGCGCTCAGAACTTACCGGACCAGATTTAGACATTCGACGCGGTTGAGCAGGGCGGCTTTCCACGTGGCAAGCTTACGGGAGAGCTTCTCAATCAGGGGTAGCAGGTGGGCACTTTCCTGCCATCGAAGGCACCGCGCAAAAAATAGCCCCAAGATGAATGAGCATTTTCTTTTGCAAGAAGAAACAAAGATGAATGAGCATTATCCGGTAACAAACAGCAAAACGTTCTTACGTGTTAGTATGGTGCACAAACTGCAATAAATGGATTTAGGAACAAGAATGCACATTTCGGTTTCGCGTTCACCACTTTCACCGCTAAAATAGCTGGAGCACACGAAACACAAATGAATAGCACCACCTCCAGGGGCAAACAATATGGGGCTTTGTCTGGTTGAGCATAGGTACAATGATAGAAGAGTTTGAATCGGTCACAGAACTACACAGATTGCACAAACACAAAAACAGTGTATATATATATATATATATATATATATATATATATATATATATATTTTGCCAAGATCTTGGGTTCCAGGTCGTGCTCAAGAGTTACTTCTTCCATGGCTGGATAACCGCGACCACGATGATAACCACTATTACCAGGAGAAGGATGATGGCGTAGCACATCCACTTTCTCGAGTTTTTCTGCAGCTTCTTTGCATTCTGGAGAGCACCCACACCTTGCTGTATGTGGTTGGTAGCATTTGAAACCTTGAAAAAAGAAAATGGCATGACAGTGCAAATGTTAGCAACATTTCGTTAGTTTGCTTTATAAAATCGGTCAGGTTTATTCAGAATAAGCTGTTTTCGTAAGTGTCTTACATGTGTCTCTATGTGGTTGATCATGTCTCCTTGAGCCTCAACCAATACTGCCATATCCAGGAATATCTACAAGGCAAAGCCCAGGAAATGGGGTACATAAGACATATTACAACCCTTGTATTCACATGGTGTGAACTATAAAATTGTATAAGAGCTTATGCAAATGAAAGATAACCTGCTGCAACTCCAGAAGCTTCCTCTCCAGATCTCTGACAGCATCATGACGCTCCTGTATCTCAGCAACAGTATCCAATATCTAGAAGAGGCCAAATTATCCTGATGAGATTTTGATGCATTTTCCCACAAGTACACAAATAATGACCAAGTTATAACTCATATACCTGGCCTCTCCCCTGCTGCTGAACAGCATCTTTGAAAATTTGCTCACTTCTCCCTGTCTCGATTAAATCATCAATAGTCTGAAGGTTCCAAAGTAACAAAGGAGGCACACTGTAAGATAAACAACTAAAAAAACATTGCAAATCAAAGCACAAATTTAACCATATAAAAAAAATGTTGCAACTATACCTCTTCATCAGGGCGATTGCCAGTTACAGTAAATACCCTTCTTTCAACAACTTCCCGGTACTCCTGCCGGATTGATTCTCTCAATACCTGCATCAGAGGGTAACAACACCGTACAACTCACATAGTTGCAATAGTACATTATATTATTCTATTTTCAGACATCAGGCTGATGCATACTTTCAACCTACCATGATGGTAAGAAACATTCTTGTAAAGTTAATGAAAGTTGAAAGGAGGATAATTTGCAAAACATAGTTCAGTAATATTTTTCCTTTACTTTTTAGAACATATAAGCATCAATGAAGCCACTTCCACCGCTTATGAAGAGCTAGATATTCAGACTTCATATAGCTGGATATCCCTGCTGCTCTATGAGGGCATATCAAATAGCCCAGGTAGAGGTAGTAAATAGAAAAATATGGGTTGATTTTCTATGTGTCTAAAGATTATTAGGCATTAGAGGGAACATTTATTCACAGAACAAGAAAATCATCACATACATGGTAATTTGGACATTCCAGTTAGAGGAAAACAATACCTGAAAATCGTCCATCCGTTCCTTCAATTTCTTTTTGACTGCTCTGTAGAGACCGGTAAGCACAGTGAACAACTAATTCATGAAGGCAAGAAATCGGAAACACAAATTGACAGCAAATTTACCCAGTAGTCTGTTCTCTTGATCGATCTACTGCAGACCCCTTCCCACATCCAGGTTTCTGCCTGTTAGATAAGTTCTGTAGCACAGAGGCAGCAAAACATAAGCATGTCCATCCTTTAATTTATGCAGATAAAGCTAGGAAAGAATGACAGACACGAGCAGGTCAAGTGTAAACATACATCTTTTTCCAGTTCATCAACTTTTGTTTTTGCCATACGAGCAATTTTCCCCACTTCATCAATATCTTTCTCCATTCGCTGCTTAATTGCTACAAAAATGTATTGTTGTGCGTGACTATACATATAGCGAAATTTTCAAGAGAGTCTACACTCATTTCGGATAAGGTTTGGCTCTGCTAAAGAACACGAGTTCTCACCTTTCATGGCACTTGCTTTCGTAACTGCTTTTGATTCCTCGTTTGCAGTCTGCAAGAAAAGGCAAGGTGTATATATATTATATTTAGCTGCGGGGCTTTGATAAATTCATCAAGGAAGTTAGTACTCACACACCAAGATTCCGTCATTACTATGAATAAGGACCAGAAACAGAAATAAGAAAAGCAGAATGGGGGATGATGAATGGACCTGGAGCTTAGTCAAGAGATTCGTCAGCTTAGCTATTAGGCTCTCAATTCCATCAACCTGTGTATGAAAGCATCATGTCATTAATCTGTAAGTGCAAAAATGGACAAATAAGGCCGTTACAAAATGCGAAGACTGAAGAGTTTCCTAAACAGCACCTTCTTCAAGAAGCCTTTTAAATTATCAGAAGCATCAGGCTGATGCATTCCCATTTCAACATCCCCATCTCTTGAGGAATCCCGCCGAGGAAGCTCAAAGGAATCCTGCAAAATCGGAATATTTAGAGTATGTAATGCATGTACTGCAGCACCTGCACGAAGGCTTGATTGTTATGAATTCGATCTGACAAGCCAATTGCGCTACTTTCATAAGCTAAAACAAATACTATAGTTGAACAATAAAGCATTGACATTATAACTAATCCCAGAAGAGTATTAAGCTTAAATTGCTAATACTGCAGATAAACAGCCAAAAGAGTATTTGAGCTGTCACTTTCAAAATCAAAACACTTCCTTCCCAGTTGCGAATCGTTTGTATTCATAACACAGTGCATGTCAAAACTCAAAAGAAACATGAGAACGATCATGTAATGCCAAAAGAATATTCTGAAGTCTTCCAGCATATCAAACCCCACAGAAACTCCCAAGCCAGTTAATTTGACTGTTCAAATAACTAATGTGATCATTATGTGTTTTCAGCCTAACAGTCAATGACATTTCGAGGATGGTAGTAAAATTTACTCCGGTGTTAAGCATAAAGCTCGGAATAAATCAGAACAGAAGTCGTTGCACATCACGGAGAGGTTCTTCAAACAACAGCAACCAGGCCATTGCTCATAACACAAAAAAGCAGATCTAACGCGACCATCCTAAAAGGATAAATCCTGCTACTTCGCCACGCACATCTGAGCAGCTAAGCCGATTCCTTGCGTGGCATTTCCTTTTTTTTTTCGCGCCGCGCCGCTTAAGCAATCCCTTTCTCCACCAGTCACTCAACCGCCTCTAAACTCGATCAGGCCCAGCCGACTTGGAGCTCATAGCAACAGAACAACGGTTGCTTCAGAAAGAAGCCCGTGCGGGAGGGGGGCACGGCGGGCAGCCCCGCTCAGATCTCGAGCTCGTGTGCTGGACCCCCGCCACTCGGTGAAGCAATTGAGGGAGCCAGCGTGAGTAGATCGAGGGACAGGACGGTTCAGAGGGGAGGGAAGGAGACAGATAGAGGGAACTTACGGTGAGTAGGTTGTTCATGGCGGCGGGGCAGGAGGCGCGGCGCGGCGAGGAGAGAGAGAGAGAGGTTGGCCGTTGTACTGTCGGAGATGCTTTTAACGAGTGGGGGTAAGCTGGACGCCTTTGTGTGCCGCGGCTGACAGGTCGGTCCAACCGTGGATTTGTTAGATTGATTATACTCGATGCGCGGCCTGTCTGCAGCTGGGACTAGGGTGTCACCTCTGCCTTCTCGCGGCAGCAAGGGAAGTGCAGCGGAATGATTAAGGCTGCGTTCGGCGCATGGGAATTTCGCAGGAATTTTGCAGGCCAAACTGCCATAGGAATAAATTCCTGTAAGCGTGTTCGCTCCTCAGAAATCGGATTCTTCTGTTCCACAGAAAAGCGTCACATACCTGTACTTTTCACGGGGAAAATAAAATCTACTCCAACCAAAGGAAAGGCCGGGTGAAAATCTCCATTCCTCGCTCCGTCGCTCTCCCGCTCCAGCCCACACCCCGCCTCCCGCGAGCTTCGCACGAAATCGACATGGACGGCCAGCGGTGCAACATGCCCAACTGGCAGATCCGAGTCCCACCTCCTCCACTCCGTCCTCCTCCTCCTCCTCCTCCTCCCCCTCCTTGTGTCCCTCAAGCTCCACCTCCCCTCCCATCGACACAAGGGTTGGAAGATCTGAAATTTGGGGGAAGTGAGGAGATCTTGCAAGAAATAGGTAATCCACTTGATACATCTTGGTTTCTCGTTCAGAAATCTCAGATTAGTGTTAAAATTTTCTTATCAAGACAGATTTGATACGGCTAGCAAGTTTCCTGTAACCCGAACACACATCATTTTTCTTTATTCCTTTGCTTTGAAAACCTGTGGTTTGTACTGTACACACAACTTCACTTCCTGTACTTTTTCACATTCCTTTATTTTGCTCTCCTCCAGTTCGAACGCAGCCTAAAAGGGGTTTTAAGGTATACTAGAAGCATATGCGCGCTTTGCTGTACCGCTCTTCACTATAACATCTTCCTTGCACAAAAGCTATTCACTTATTCTCAAATAACATTCCAACAATATTAAAGAGAACTCTAAGATCAATCTAAATCCTGTTTATTTCTAGACGTGGAAGAAATCATGGACTCTTTCCAATAATAAGCAAGAGATTGGTCGACTCCTATGACTGAATCCAGTTATCTCTAAACATCCACCAACGTCCAGTCTTTAAGCTCGCCGAAATTTCTTTGCCTCTTTAAGCTTCCCCCCATAGGTGTGGTAGGTTGTTCATGCCCATCTTCGAGATCCTCGACTGTTGTTGACGTCTGGATCACTCCAATTCAAAACACTCAATCCAACATCACCTTGCAAAAGATCGAAAAATTATATTTCTACCAAAATAATCTGCATTGCATAGCAACAACTAAAATAATCAATGGTAGTAGCAATAACAGAAGTTTGTATGAGTTGTTAAGCAAGAAACATGTATTTCTCATGTATATCTTTGAAAAATAAATTTGCACATACATCTTAGTGTGACTCATCAAATCTCAACTTTGATCAGTGCTCACATGTGATCGTATCTATATCTTCCCTGCATATCTCCGCACACAATACATATGCGACAAAATAAGGAAGGTGAACTCCAGGCGATAGAAAAGAATTTACTTATTGAAACTCCAATCAAACCATGGTAGAGCTACATGTCTCCGGAAGAGCAAATAATGGTATATACATCAAAGAAGGCTCTGTCTCCCAGAGTAATCTGAGAAAATAGTTAATCTTAGTTTTCCAATTGGACATGTATACAGATTTGTTCAGATAAACTGGAAAAGGATTTATTCCGAATCTCGTATTTTTTTAATCAGACATTTTAATTTGCACACATGTCATCATAGAGAATATTTGGAAAAACAGAGAACTAAATAGATGTTAGGTATAAGGTCAAATTGTGTATAAGAAGTTCGCAGCAAACCACCACTTTATTGATGGTTTGGGTTCAAATTAGGAACAGTTGTGGACAACAATTCATCAAACTAAAAGAGCAATTTTTCAAAAAAACTATTGAGTGCAGAATTAGATGAAAACCTCAAAAGATTTAGGTACCTTTAGTCCACCTTATGGTTTTGGAAGTATTTTTGTAAATATATTACATAATCATTTCCTCCATATATATCTCTTGATACTAGAAAATCTGAAGGGCACCAGGAATGGTCTGCATGATACAGAAAAATAAAATGAAGCAAATTGTACCATCCAGTAGAAGAAATTGTCATATTTAATCTTCTGAACTCATATTTGCTGAATTAACTAATTGTTGCAAGCCTCTTTGACTTAGCATAAACTTCTCATTTGTTCTGTTAAGATTCGTCATAAATGAAACTATCTAGTTTTGTAGAAATACATTGAATTCAGAGTGATTTTAGGCTTAAACTAAGAGCACTGGCAGTTAGTGATCTCCTCAAACTACAAAATGAGTTTGAGACTTTCAGTTATCAATAGCAATTTTTCTGAAACATGCAAATATTAATGTTAGATGCTATGCTATGCTATGCTATTTACATCATGCATCCATCTATTGAGAAATTTAACTCAAACAAAACACATGCTCTCCTCAGATTATGTATGAGAATTTTAACCATGAGAATGCGAATTAAACACCTAAAAGTCCGCTAAATATGACAAAAATGTTGACCTCCTGAACTGTTAGGAGTACAAACCAATATATCAATTTAGTTTACCAACTGTATAGATAACAACATCCATGTTCATGACTCTGTATGGACTAACATATATCGCGACATGAAAAGTGACTGCATATATCACCCCAATCTCAGTATGCAGCAATTAAGTAAAGCTAGTTGCAAACATATACCGGCGTCATGGGCTGATCAATCAACTTTAGCAGTATGAGATTACTACTGTTCTGTTCAACCACGTTGTAATCATGCAGAAATGTACGCTGCTTCAAAGCATAAACAATGAGCTTTTCCCTTCATAGATCATAGTGTATACTTTTCAGCCCCATCAGAGAAATAAACTGAACTAAAGAAGAAGAGAATGCTCGCTGACTTCTTCCTCTGTTCCTTCTCTCTCCTGCCTGCAAACACAGACATTGAACTCTCCAAATTTGTGCCAAGCAAAGACATATCTCAGAGTGTTAGACTATGTATAACTTCTGTACCTATGTACGTATTGTAACACAACCATTATATATAATGAGATAAGCCACCCTTAGAGGGTTGTGCTGGTTCCCAAAACTTATTGTCTTACATGGTATCACGCTAGGTTACGATCGCTTCCGCTTCTAAACCCTAATACCCGCACCGCCGCCGCAGTCGCCGCCGCCTTCACCGCCGCCGCCGCGCCTCCGATCGCGCCGCCGCCATGTCGAGCGCCGCCACCACCGGTTCCACTGCTGCGGGCTTCCTCCCGGCCTCTCTTGCGACTCTGCTCAACCTCCCGCTCGATGCCGTCTCCGTTCCGGCTCCGATCGGGACAAGGAGCATCGGCTCCGTCTTCTCCACGCCGCTGGCGCCCTCGCCGTCCGCTGCGGATTCCGCAGGCGTCGTCCCGCCGCTCCTGCCGCGAGCGGATCACACCGCCCCGCTGGCGGGGTTGGCGGCGTCCGCCCCGGCCGCGGGCCTTGCGGCGTCCGCACCGGCCGCGAGCTTTGCGGCGCCCGCCCTGGCTGCGGTCCCGCCTCCTCCCGCACCGGCTTCGGTGCCTCCGGCTGCCTCCATGGTGTTTGCACCCCAGGCAGCCTACTCGATGGGATCGTCTTCGCCGTCGCCGTTTCACTTCGGTCATCTCATCACCATCAAGCTCTCCGCAGACAACTACATCTTCTGGCGTGCGCAGGTTCTCCCGCTCTTGGGGAGTCACTACCTGCTAGGCTACGTCGACGGATCGCTTCCCTGCCCACCCGCGCTGGTAGACAGCGTGCACGGTCCGGTCTACAATCCGGCCCATCGCGTCTGGACGGGGCAGGACCAGGCGAACCTCTCCTC